AAACGTTCGAGAACTTTTGAGACTTGAGAGAGTAAGGAAACTGGTCTGTAGTTAGTGACCTCATGAGTGTCACCCTTTTTGGGTATAGGCACGACATTAGCAGCTTTCCATTCAGAAGGAAAAACACCCTGCTGAAGAGATAACTCAAAGAGAGCAGTCAAAGAAGGGGCAATTACCTCAGAACATCGCTTTAGAAGGTAAGCTGGAATACCATCTGGACCAGTAGCCTTAGAGGGTGACAAATTGGACAACAAAGACTGAACATCGGATTCAGATACATTTAATGAGTCAAGAGAGTTAGGAGCTGAACTAGAGGGAGTGTAAAGAGGTGAAGATCTTGTGTCGGAGGTGAAGACTGACGTAAAAAATTGGTTAAAGCCATCCGCTTTTTCCTTTGCATAAAAAAGTTTCTGACCTTCCAACTTCATCACGTCAGGGATCGAAGATTTCGAGGATTTACATTTAAAGAATCTCCAGAATAATTTAGGGTTATTATATACATGTTCGGACAGTCCAGAGAGATATTCTCTCTTCTTGGAATTTATCCAACACTTGACGTGTTGCCGAGTTTTACGGAATTTCTTCCAAAGTTCAGGCGAGTTCTTAGCCTTTGCCTTTCTTCTTAATGACTCTTTCATCTTAATAGCGTGAAGTAAGTCCTTGGTGATGTATGGGGGTGTAAAAGAACGCTTGAGCTTTGTTTTGGGGATGAAATGGTCAACAGCGGCAAGAAAAGCGTCCTTCCACTTAGCCCAGGCAAGATTAACGTTGTTACTTTCGTTGAGGACTATATCAACTAGTGGAGTGTTCCTTAGACTGTTAAATAGGCCCACGAAATCACCCTTAGCATAATTATAGACCACACGTTCCGAGGATTGTTTACGTTGTTGATGGAGTTTTAGGTCGAAAAATATAGCTTTGTGATCAGAGGGTAGAGAGATGGAGTCGTCATCAGTAACTTCAAACTGGTTGTCGGTCAAGTGTTCATTTGTAGTTAAAACCAGGTTGATGAGGTTGTTACCGCGGGTAGGTGAGTTAATCAATTGCAGATAACTAAACTCAGTGATGCTGTCAATGAAACTAGTTTCTGAAGTTGAAGTAGAGAAACCTGAACTGTTAGACCATTGGATATTAGGGTAGTTGAAGTCGCCAATTAGAACAACATCTTTGAATTGCGATTCTTGGACAAATTTTAAAAAGCGGGTTAGTTCATTTAGGAAAACATTAGTGGAGTCAGGTGGACGGTAACAGACAGCAACAAGTACTTTACAAGACGGGGAGATAATAACCAGAGATACAAGTTCCAACGAGTCTGAAACGAAGCCAGAAGGTTCAGTTTTGACTGTATCTTTTACGGCAAGCAGAACACCACCGCCCTGTTTACCAGTTCGACGATCTCGCCGAAATAGCTTGTATCCAACAGGCAAGATTTCATCATCACGCACATTGACAGTGAGCCAAGTCTCCACCAAAGCAATCACATCTACACTGTTGCCATAAACAATGTCATGTAGATATGAAAGCTTATTCACGACGCAATTAGTTGTAGGGTTACGATGATTCGCCTTCAGACTTCTGACGTTCTGATACAGAACATTAAACGAAGAACGGGATCTAGGATTGGTAAGTCCTCGCACATTAGGTGATGATGTAGAAATGCTGCAGTCAGGACCGGGATTAGTAGAAATGTCATTAGATAAAGATATAAGTATCAGGGAAATGGAAAAGTTCATGGCAATATGAAGTCCACGGGTTAGTTTCATATCTGACGAGAGAGGCTTGGTGGAGGTTGAGCGACGATTAATACGAGAATGTGAATATTCATTCATATTGGGATTTGCCAATAACTGAGAAACATACAAAGTTTCACAGTTGAGATACGCTGGTGTAGAGTGGGACAAGTCTCTAGTAAAACTTGACAAGTATACGAAAATATGCAAAATAACGAGTAAGTTACGCGGAGACAACGTTAATGCGACAAACGCCATAGTAGATTACGCGATAAATATCAGGGGAAATCCCGCAGCAGTTGAAACGTTGAAATTATAGAAGACCAAAGTCTCAGGTTACGATGGCCAAGGGCGAAGTTCAAACAAAGACGCTCTTGCAACAATAAACAATCATGAATAATTAAAAAAGCGTTAAATATGGTGATCACAAAATCAATTCTTGTATCCCAAATAACTGAACAATATAATAGAGTGACACGATCGGCGATTCTATGGCAGAAAATTCACTTTAAACGGCTGACAGATCACTTTAAACGGCTGACAGACGATTACAAGTTAACGTAGTTACCATGACAAACGACGCTTGATATATTATAGCTGGCCAATACAATTAATTTCCAACCGTCAAAAAGATAAAATAGATGTAGTTTAAATTCTCTATATCAAACCGACACCAAAACTTGACAGGATGACAGGAACACAGAACGTAGTTTACGGAGAGAGTTTAAAACAAATCCAATAAACGGTTGACTTGACGAGATAATGACAACAACGCAAAATTCAGGATTTGTAGCGACAACTGACGACCAAGACGAATAATCCAAAATAAACGAACAAATCCAACGATAAACTGAACAATAACTATATCCACTGAATCACTGGGACTTTGTACTCAGTTTAACACCACGTTTGATTGAATATGAAAAAGATAGAGGTCGTAAAGGATCGAAAAAAGCGGACACATTAGCGGCGTGACCTCGCGTATTAAAAACCTCAGTAGAAAAAAGATACATACATACATACATACATACATACATACATACATACATACATACATACATACATACATACATACATACATACATACATACATACATACATACATACATACATACATACATACATACATACATTCATACATACATACATACATACATACATACATACATACACAAATATGCACTTATATATAAAACGTTAAAAAGGAATAATATCTTTAGTTCATACTCATTTGACATTGACATGAGACATTACTTGTTAGAACTTAGAGGAGAATTTGAAACGTAGGTGGAATTATAATGAACACTAGACTGTTTCTTTCAGTACAAGCAGATTTATGCCATGGATTAGCCAGTGGTGTAGTGGAGGGGGGGGGGGGCTCAGGGGGCTGAGCCCCCCTTGTTAAAATTTCATGTGAACTTGGGGGGCTGAGCATAATCTTAACAACGTCAAAAACACACACAAAAATATCAGTAAACGAGGATGTTCCTTAGAATTGCATCTCATTTTCAGTCGTCATTTAACACAATAATAATTTTTGTAATCTTTATTTAATCGCGTTGTTAATGCGCCGTAGCAAATTTAATTGGCTGTTGAAGTACCGATCCTGTTTTGTATGATTTAAACTCTATCTACGGCTGTAGGAACCGGGGGTGTTGGAGGCTTCAGCCCCCCCCAAAATATCATATTGTACCACCCCCCCCACTCCCGCCAATTCAGGACACTTTTGGAGAGCCCTCCTTGTTAACATTCCAGGACTACACCACTGGGATTAGCTTTAGTAGGCCTATCATTAGGGAACTGTCTGTGCAAGTGTAGGTAGTGCCAGCAATAACAAGCTTTCATTGATAGGGATGCAACTACCTGAAAAGTATAAGGAGAATTAATGGTGTGATACCTTACACGGTCTTTACCGACTTAATAGATACAGGTTCAGATTTGAGTTCCACTACCGCTACCACTACCTATCACGGGCTTAGTACGAATCTGATTGGTTAATTGCATAGTTCAAATGCATCTGATTGGTTAATGGTCCCTTAATAGTAGCGGTAGCGGTAGTGGAACTCAAATCTGAACCTGTCTAATATAGGAAGAGGTTATTTCGCTGGCCTCAGAGTGACAAAACGTAACAAAGCAACGGTTTTACTAACACTAACCCTATTCCAAACACCAATATTCCTAACCTAACCCTACTCCAAGTTTGTTTCTAAACCAATCTTGAAGAAAAAAGTTTTGACGAAATGTCATTCTGAGGTCAGCGAAATAGTATATACCCTTACAGTCTGAAGAATGCAGTTCTTTACCGCCAGCTGAAGGACAACGCAAGAAAGATAAAAAGCGACATAAAAAGCACAAGACAAAAAGACGTCGAAGGCGAAGGTATTCATCTAGTTCCAGTTCCGACAGTAATGCAGATTTTCTCGATAACTCTAAACGACCTGCGTATTTTGATAGCTTTACCTGTAATAATTATTCCTCAAGTTTCCCGCCATATAGACTTTGTGGTACAAATAACATTGCAGGGTTTAGTTACATGCCAGGATACTTTCCTGCACCTCCGAATTCGGCAACACCCTACCCTATGCAAGGCTATCTCCCCACTTCGCAATTTAACATGCCACAGGCCCCATCTCCGATATTCGAAAACAGGGATAAAACTACGTATCCTCAACATGGTTTACATCACGACTACGATACAGAATTGCCGGTGCACACATGTACCAACCCGCGAATAGCAAATTCAATTACTGATACAAGTACAACAACAGTAAATCTTAATGTTAATTCGCCAGACAAATGGTCGGGATTAGATACACTTGTCGAAGTGGCGAACGATATTCATCAGACTTGAAATTGACAAGATGATGACATGGTAAAATATAAAACAGTTTTCGTAATAGTTGAGTTAAGATTGAGTTTAATATATTTGTATTTAAACTTTCTTTATACTAATTATTATACTCTAAACTTTGTTTTGTAAGAATTCACTCGACACGCATATAAAAATTATAATACATATACGCCCAAAGCGAGCATAATGCGATAAAAATATGTCCAATAAGGCAATATGTATGTTCTATGGCTATTTGTATGGCACGTTTGACTTTTGTTCTGATTTTAATTGGTTTATAGTAGCCTATTCTAGTTTATAGTAGTAGACTCATGGTCATCACACGTAAAAAAATATATTTTACAACTTGTGTTGCATGAGTCAATGGACAATGACAGTATATTTTATATAATTTACTGTAATGCCATATATATAATGTTGATATTGATGTTGTTAGGCTGAGGTAACAGTATGTATTACTTTTAGTTTTATTAATAAATCGTTTGGGTGGAGTCATTTGTAACTATGCAATTACTGTCTTAGTATATTATATATAATTAGCCTAGACTAGTATAGGTTGAGTTGCAAAGCGGCGAAATCATTTCATATTTGTATTAGGCCTATTTTGCAGCTACAGTAGGTTTACCTGTTTCTGTCCAAATGGCAAATACGTAATTACACTCGGAACAATGTACTTCAATTTATTATTGGGATAATTAAAAAAAAACACAAAAGTTTACATATTGACTAAATAGTTTACATATTGACTATAGTCTATAGCATTTTAACTAAAAATGTACTATTATTTATTTCTAAAAATAAAACAAATGTACTTTTACGAATAAATAAATTTACAGACTCAAATGTTCTCAATCATCAGTATATCCGCAATATTTGAAAATGTTTCGAGACATTAAGTGAGTAATTTTGCTCAGACCGTGAAGAATAGCGATTTCCGTATGCTCTTCTGCAAATTTAGGAAACGAACGAAGAACACCTTTTAAATGTCTGAAACACATCTCACAAGTGTTGTATTCGGGATGATATGGCGGCTGATAAACCAATCTTAGCCCACGGTTCGCAAGCATGTCTCTCAAAACTGGTTCAACATGACGAGCATGATGAAATCCGCAGTTATCCATAACTATCGTGTCGCCTTCTTTCAAAATTGGATTGTCAAAGACGTCCTGTTCCTCAATTGCTTCGGCGAAAAAGTTCAAGAGTTCGAGCCCATTAGACGGACCAGGTAAAATATTTACATGTCCAATTCCATAGACATTATGCAATAAGTTCACTGTATAAGTTGCATTACTTGCATATCGCTGAATTTCAATTGCTCGGGTGCCAATTCCAGAATGGCCGTAATGTCGATTTCCTGTGGTTTTAACTACAGAACATTCATCAAAAAAATGTAATGTTCTGATGTTTACACTGCATACTGCTGCTAAATATCTCTCAAGTAAGTCTTGTGCTTGTGGCGTAAGAGATTCTCTAGGAATTACTTTAAGCTTCTTGTAAGAATAACCCAAGTCGGATTTCAAACATCGGCTTACAGTTGACTGCGATGGCACATTCTGTTGTAAACAGACATTATTTTCGACTAAAGAATGTTGTAATTCTTTAGCAAACACACTGGGCTGTCGTTGTTTACAGTATTCTATATATTCACAAACATCGTCAGTTCTTGCATGTCTTTGTGTATTTCCCCCTTTTAGAGCCTCCGCTGTTCCCCGAGTTACGAAGTTGTTTACGATATTAGTTACTGTTTGCCGTTTGAGGTTCAGATTAAACCCTATCTGTGATGGATTTTGCCCTTCACGCCAAAGGAATATTATCCTGTTGCGTACTTCTACTGGAAGAGCTTGTCCTTGCTTTGTAAAAGGGTTCATGCGTTTTCCTTTCACTTTTTAAACAGTGACAATTTAAGGCGCCAAAATCTGTTTATTAAACTACATATGAACTTCTGAAATACCGAAGTTCATGCATTTCAAAGTTCATTTTGAAGTTCGGAAATTGAAACCGAACTTCGTTGCCAAGTTCGGAAGTACATCGGCAAACTTCGGAACTTCGCAACCAACTTCGGAAAAATTCGGCAAAAGTTATGTGAAATCGACTGTAATTTGAACGCTTTTTAAAAATTAAAAATAAGACATACTGTAGCTTTAATTTTGGGAAGAGATCGTGCTGTATTAGTGCAAATCATGGAAGTGACATCAGAGGTGTGACGTAATATTTCCCATAAACTGCGAAAGCTTGGGTTCTAATGTAAATAAATATGGTGGATTTTGAAAATATACAGCATTTGCATAATAGTAAATGCATTAATGCATTTAGGAGCACTGTCAAGCAAGATATTGAATAATTAAGGTGCAGTACACTCTATTTTAACTGTTATTTAGATAATTGTTGTCAAATTGAATTGGTCCTAAAGCCTGTGGTGACACATCTTGTGGTACGAATATTGTACGCGCGGGTCGCGAGAATGACGTCTGAATAATTCGGCTAATACGCCTCAGGAAAACTGTACGGAGCCTCCTTAAGTTTTTTTTTCTGAATTATCAAGTCAACGTTCGTAATTGATTTCAATGTATCATTTATATTTTCTAGAGTTCCTAGTGTGGACCGTTAGCTTCAATGATTTGACCTACGGTTGTATGTTTAATGTTTGACGCAGTTACAATAGTTGTATATACGTATGTTAAAATTACATTACAATGATCTACGGGCGCTTTTCATTAACACAGCAAGACCTGTCAGAACGGTCAAATGTTGAATGGAACACAATACTACATTGGGACTTCGGGCCAATCTAATCCGAAAATTTGGATCAATTTTGACAGAAACCCATTTTCACTAGATTTTTGTCTGAACCAGATCTTACCATTAATACAGAGAGAGAAATTCTGGTCTGACCGGTCTCGCTATTAAATGGAAAGCGCCCTACGGTTGCATGCTATGTTTTACTGTAGTTGCATGTGTGGGTTTATGATGTCTTAAAACTAGCTTAAATAACGACATTTAAGAATATAGAGAACAACATTCTTGAATTTAAAAAGATAGTGAAACAATGTACACGTCCTAAAATGTTTCTACGGTTTAAAATTATACTTACATTAGTATTTTTCATGTATAAATAATGTGTGTAAGCAATGTAACAAAGAAGATTAATAAAATGAGTCCCCTTTGCGAATCATGTGCAATATACACCGGACCCTTTTTCGACGAAACCCGAACCATAAGTTGGTTTTTGGTGACGAAAAGTTTAGTGTGGTGTCGTATTTAATGGTAGGGGGTCTAGGTCTGCATTCGAATTCGTGCGTTTTCTGAAACAGATTTTTGGATATACAACGTTGTACATAGTACTTGCATGGTATGTTTATGTAAATACCACATCTCGATCAATAACTAGCTTGTTTAGCCTAGCCTTCCACTGGGATATGCTATCCACTGGGAAATTTTTAAATTCTTGGGTATTTACAACTCAATGTTTAGCATTTTTGAAAAGACATTCGGAATCATAAAAAGATCGACATGACATAAGATTCACAAAGCAAATTTCAGTTACTAGAATATCAAACCTCCCTTCTAAAGTCCTTTTTCTTCCAATGTTTTGCTTATATTTCAGAGAAAAGGGACTTTGACTGGGGGAAGCAAAATGGTTAAACGGGGGAGATCACCATGGTGGCTGGGGGGTCTTTGGGGGCCCCCAGTTATATAGTTAAAAAAGGCCATGCTTCACTGCGTCGTAATAATTCAGAAAAATAACTTTTGGTATTGCTGTAAACGGGAAGGAATAAAAACTCAAGTCTTATTAGCCAGCTATTTCTCTACTGAAATATCCAACAGTGGAAATCGGCTAAAAGTCGTGTCGCTAAGCTGAATTTTTCAAAGTATGTGCGGCGTTAAGTTTAAAATATAATCCGACTTAAGGCCAAGTAAAAAAATAACTTGGTTAGCGTCCTTTTTTCCCTAATTTTAGGGTAGGGGTGGGAGGGTTCTTTAGGGTTTTTTTATTTGTGCACCTATATATAATCAGCCTTGTTTCAAGGGATATAAAATATGAGCATATTTAATATATCGAGGATTTCTAGCAACCAATAGTGGGCTAGCGCTGGGCAACTGCTGACAAATGTAACACCGGCTGTGAATGTTGGTTTATTTATATAAAAGTGGACAAATTCTTTCGGAATAGAAGATTTCTAAGGTATTTATATAAAATTTTAAAAAAATTAGGTCGGGATCTTTTTCACTGGTCGGGCGAGGACGCTAACGAAGTTATTTTTTTTTTACTTGGCCTAATTCTTGCCTAATTCTTGCCTTGCTTCAAACCAACTCAAACTGAGCTCTCCGAAATCTTAACTCTCCAATATCCTTGCTCTTTTTGTTTAAAGAAAGTTTTATTTTTGCAAAATCATAAGGTAAGTTTTATTTCTTCTAGAAAGTTTTATATACACACATATAATTAGAAGTTTGATTTTCCAAACAAGTCTTGTACTTTAGGAAGTATCAGTGACATATCATGGTAAACCATTCTGTTGAATGGAGCCAGTTTCGCTCATAGGTTTTATTATCAGGATCTGCCTGTGATCATTTAAAGTGGATAAATAGTCTACCTGTACATTAATACGACCTGACGTCAAAACACGTTCCTAACAAATCGGTCATCCGTTGCACAAACAAGCTACCAATAGTCAATATGGTTATGTACTGCTAATGACCCATTATGCACTGCTAATAACCATATAATGGTCATTTTACACAATGGTTGAGAATTACAAAATTGAGAAATGAGGCACAGTCCTAAACTTTTGACGAAATATAGCATCTCTATTTTCGGCAAGTTGTCCATTCGGCAAACTGTCCGTTCGGCAAAAGTCCGTCGGCAAAATGTCCGTTCGGCAAAATGTCTTTCGGCAAAATGTCTTTCGGCAAAGTGTCTTTCCGCAAAATGTCCGGGTACTCCCCCCTCCCCTCCCCATCTCATGTACTACATCTCATACAGTAAAGACTTTGAAGACAAG